ATTACTTCAAACACATGGTATTGTATCGTCATTCTAACCTCTCGGTCAACAATATTCTCTTAATATTACTATTTTATACAACTAATATAATTACTTTTTTACGTAGAGAGTTTTAAGAAAAATGGCTTCTTTGTAATACCAAGTAAACGAACATTTTATTCTTAGATATGTATTATATTCATTTATAAAGCATCATTCATATAATTTTATTCCGAGTATAATATCAAAATAATTTGTTTTGACAATCAAAGGTACAATACCCATGATAAAAGGTATTCGTTGGCATTGTGTCAAACAGTTAGTTAATCAGAATCCTAATGTAATTCACATTGGGCTTCTTGTTCCGAATATTTAGAAGGAATGTCACTAGACAAAACAATATTTTCTTGTTCGTCTTAAAAATATATTGCACTTGATTTTATTTTTTGTAAATCTATAAAGTCAACTTATGAATTCAATAAAATATTACATGAATAACGAAACAATTGAATTTATTTAATTGACAATTTAAAAAAGAAAATTGTGAAATTGCACAATAATTGTGCGCAGTCATATCGATAATTTATAAATATACAGCCGCTCACGTATAGCTGGCACCATACTCATTTATACTCACATTTAAAGTTTTATAATAAAGTTGAAAATGGATTTTTTAAAATGAAAGTTGGTATTATTTAACAGATTTTATATTTTTCAAATTGTTCCAAAAATGAGAATTGGAATTAGGAACAAACAAAAAACACTATTAGAATGTATTTTTTAATTTATTAGAAAATCTTAATTTTTTCCCCTTATTACTTTAAATATTCATCATATGTCATGTTAAATAACCAATTATATTTTTTCGGTAACATTAACTGAAACTATACCTTTTGTAACGATTTAACCGAATTCAAATAATATTTCATAACAACACAAAATGACTCATGGGTAGGATTTTTATATTTTTTATGTCTATTTTAACGTATTTTTTTGACTAATAAATTATTGAACTTGCGAATAATTCGATTTAAATAAAACTTAAAACATATTATATTATGGTTATTTACTTATTTTTCATACAAAAACAAACATATTTTCTCTTTATCATTTTTTTTCACTTCCAATATTTTCAGTAATGAGATTGTATGACGTGACTACACGGACGACCATTCGCCAAATTAAGTCTCGTCTTTGCTAGTTCTTTGATATCAAATAAGTAAAGTAAATGAATTAAATATTTAAACTAAATAAAGCAAAATTCAAACAAAATTTTATGGACTGTATGACTCTTTTGGGTTTTATTGTTAAACATTATTTCAAAGAAAATACAATTATTACTTGCTCTAATGTTAGTAACTTAAATTTAAATATAAATACATGTACAGCGAATAAATAACAATAACAATTACAAAAATATTGTTAAATTGATGAAATTTTACATTCATTAAAAACCATTCGGAGCATATGAGAACGCGAGTAGGAGAGCACACACACTTCCCCAACAAATAAACCGGTTAGGGCATGGCAAGCTCATGACGAAGAAAACCGATACTTACCGCATTAATTTGCTTTGACACGACCAAACAATGATCATATAAGAAAATATGTGTTTTTTCAATAAAAATGTATCACGGTCAATTTGACTTTTCAAAAAAAAATTTTAATTATTTTAAAGCTCTTAAAAATTTTTTTCTAATAATATTATTTTAGTTTGTTCCTAATTTCGATTTTGTTCAGAAACAATTTGAAATATGGGTAAAAGTGATCTTGGGTTGCTAACTTTAAGTGAGCGACAGTATAACTCCAATTTTTTCTACGTGATAAAATGTTTAAAATGTTGGTCTTTTCATCTTACGGAAATTATTGTAAACAAATTATTTATTTACAATGATTAAACATAAACTTGCAAGTAAAATTTTTGTTCACAAGATAGTTGTTTAAAGTTTGAAGTTTCATTTTATAAATTATCTACTTGTTCTTAACTACCACAAACTAATTACTTTGAAAAAAACAATTATAATAAAAATTCTAATTTTTATCAGAATTTAAATAAACTATTCGTTTAATAAAAAATTGTTGTTGTTTATTCAATTCTCTTGATCGCTCCAATTCAATTACAATTTATAATTTACAAATATTCAATACGTGAAAGGTCAGGAATGACTATTAGTTTAATCAATGGGTGTTTTTACCTTTTTGATTTTAAAATCAGACATCTCTGCGAAATGTTAAGGTTATTAAGGAATGTTACCGTAATCGATATACTTGATAGAGAACACCGTTTGAACGGGACTCGTGAGTTGAAATGAAATACTTCTCTTTGATTTATTAGTAATCCTGCTCGTGATATTTTAAAGGTATATTTTGTTTATTACACAAATATTTATACGAGGAAAGAGGGATTCGAGTAGCTTAATTAAGAGCGTTGATTTTGGGTATTTGTCCTGAATTGATCACTACTAAGCAGTAGTGACCACTAATTCACAACTTACGGAAATATGCTATAATATCATTATGGAAAGGATCTAGTCAAATAAAAAGTGATTGCTAAAATAAATGACTGTCATCTTATTGATTAGGCCGGATAGTAGTACTTAAATAAGTGACTAGAAAGGGTGTCATTGATTGATAGGTCTAAAAAGGTCCGTTTAGAAGAGACTTGATCATCATCATTGTCCTTAAAGCACTGTATGTTATATCGGACTATGGTTGCGACTGCTTGGCTCACTGCTGATTGGGCACTATGACTGTAACTGTGGTTGTTTGTAGTTGAACACTGGATGATATACCGGGTGCTGTTACTGAACCAGCACTATCTCACCAGACACCTAATTTTGTTGTTCGTTGAGTCACTTTGTTAACTAGTTTTTTGCATAACATATAATGAGGCAAGTTTAACTATAACATATTGTGTTGCCTGTGATATGTTTACATCTATGTTTTCGAATGGATTATATTTGTTAGGCATTTTTTGTGTTAATAAATCTTCAGTATGGTTCTATTGTTTGGTGGTTACATCTCAGACCTTGTTTACCGATAATACCCCACTTTCTATGTATTGGTGTTTTCTTCGGTTTTTATCTTTACGTTTTCGATATTCAGCTGTGCATTTTTTACTGACCTGACTGACGTTATTCTGATATAATTTTCTTTATTTAACTTGGGGTACATGCTTTTTGTCTTCTTTTTCATAAATTGGAATAATGAATGTTACTACTTGATCATTTGATAGCATATGAGGATTATTTTTAAGAGGTTTTAAGTCTGTTATACAAAGTGGTCCAAAATTTTGAAATTTTTGGTTACTTTTAGTTACATATTATTATTGATTTTTTGAACATTTTATTAGGGTGTCCATTTTTATTTTTCAAATGGTAATACATATAATCAAATAGTTTATTAATTAGATAATAAATAGATTTAAAGTAATGAATGAAGGTGAAGAGTGGGTGCTACTTATTTTAAAATTAGATATTTCCCGGTCGTACTCTTCCTTCCACTAAGGTATAAACATGTTAATAATTTCCAAAATACTAGTCCAAAAGTTGTTATCGACTAATCATTTTTTTAATTAGATCAATATCTAATAAATAAGAAATATAATTATGTGTTGTTATTTGTAAAGTTAAAGTGGACACCTTTATAAAGTATAAGATATTAATTAAGTGGTTCATGATTATTTAATAACCCTGTATTCGAGGAAATAATAGAGAAGGATGGGCTGAGAGGAAACGTGTTTTGGGGCCTGTACATAGCAATGACCCAGTGAAAATGTTGGGGGGATATAAATAAGAAAAATTTTACCATATAACCATTTTTACCGTGAAGACAAAATAATGTCCAACATTTTTTTTTTCCATAATAAATTACATTATATTAGATTTAATTTAAGATATATATAAAAGTGTCAGACTTTTCGGAACACTTTCAAAAGTTAATTGTTTGTGAAAAAGTTGTCATTTTAAATCCCCCCCTGTGGGCAGGTAAAGAGTCAAATTTATTAAAAAAATATACCAAATGATAAGTAAAAGTATCATAATCATCAAACATCTATAAAAAAAAAATTATATTGATTTGTTCATTTTTGAAAAAGTTATGGCAGTTTTAAGTAAAATAAATTGAAAAAATTAGCGATTTTTAAATTTGTAATTTTTTTGGAGGTTTCCCCAATTTACGAGGAACGATGGAAATTTTTTCAATTTTTGAGAATAATGTCTTCGACTAGATACGATTTGTTATCTTTTGACGTATCGTTGAAAGAAATTGGTTGAGCTGAGAAAAAGTGATAACAGACACAAAAAAAAAACACATCATAATAAAACCGATACCACCTTCTCAGCTTCGCATCGAAGCTAAAATTAATTTTGATTATAGTTCTAATTTTTATTTTATCGCTAAATCGCTATGATTTATATTGATTTTAGCTAAAGGTTTCTAGCAATGTTCGTATGCTTATATGCTTCCATTAAATACTCCTATAAACCCATTTAGTCAAAGGTTTTCTCAGTTGAAATTTCTTTAATTAATTACTAAAGTATTTCATGAAAACAAAATAAATTGTATGCATTATATAATTAACTACAAAAACTTTTGTTTTATTCCATTAACTATCGTATACACAGCTTTATTTATGAGTTCGATATAACCATCTTTTGGCAGTTATACTTAATTCTACAATACTGTTATCAATTATCTTATAAATATATTATATAAACTTGGATTTCTAGAATGTGTAATATAAGCGGTAGTTCTGTTTCTTCAGGTAACTCATAAAATTTTATTGAAATCTTGAAAAGATTAGAAATGGATATTTTTTAAATTAAACAAAAAATCTGTCAAAAATCTAACGCAAGAGAAAATTTTTAAGTAAAGCAAGTTTAATATAAATATTATGAAATTTTATATTTTCATAAATCATAAATGTCAATATTTATATGGGTATTAAACTTGGCCAATTTAATTACACTAAGCTTAAAAACTTTTATTATTATTATAACTATTATTATTTAAATATTTAGGATCTCCATTTTGGTGTCTACTGGATATTGTACCCATCAAAAATGAAAAGAGGGAAGTGGTTTTATTTTTGGCTTCACACAAAGACATCACACATACAAAAATGGCGGAAATGCATGTTGGGATGGACTACGATCAAGGTAAGATCTACAAAATTATTAGATATAAATATAATTAAATAACATTATAAGTAAGTTAAGGTCAAGTTAGAAAAAAATGTTATTTTTTTACATTATTTTACAACTGAATGCAAATAAAGTTTTTTCTAAGTTAAATTCTGAATAGAATAACTAAAAATATGATTATAATATTTTGATAATTTAGGTCAAATTACAATTTGTAATGACATTTTATCAATCATTTATTTTTTAATATAGTTTCATTGACGTATTGGGTGGTATACAGTTATTGTACAACCTACCATTTATTTAAAAGCTATACTACTCATTAATAACGAGGAAAACATTTTTGAACTCTACTTCTTATTCTTATAAAAAAAATATTTTTTAAAAATAATTTGTTCAAAAGTATACTGTGTTCTCCAAAACTTAAAATAAAAATAGTGAACTGAAGTTAAATGTAAAAATTTGATAATTGATCATTTACTTTATTAAATACTCTATATTTTTTTTAAACAAATTAGGCAAAAAATGTCTTGAATATGTTTTTAATATTATCTAAAACATTTTATTTTGTGGACATTTATTATAAATAAAAGTGTTTAATAAAAAGTAGCTATTACTATTATGATATTATATGACTATTATGATAAGTAAAGTATTTAAATTAATAAATTCGTAGTAGCAATTATTTAACAAATAATTCTAAAGTTATTTCGTTATAGAATAAAAAGTATCGTCAATTATGTAACTAGTTAGTTTTATTTTTAAAAAAAGATAACTTATTTTACAGCCTCTTAATTCATAATCTATAATTGGTTCTTTATAACTTTTGACTTTAAGAAACAAATATTATTAAATTTGTGTCGTATTTACTAGGAAAATAGTATACAATCATACCAAAAAGTCATAAATCTAAGAAATCTTTTGTCAAATGTACATTTAATATAAATTAGGAAATTATCTCTTATTCCAAACTACCTAGTTGTACTTTGTGAATGTAAGGTATGTTATTTACGATTACTGTAATGCCTTTTACCAATGAAAAAGGATCAGCCCATTAACGAACAAAAAGATTTCAACATCCTATTGTTTATCTTTGCTTATTTTCAGCATTATACTTACAACTTTGTAAATGGTTACTTATATTCTAAAATTCAAATAATTTAAATGGCTTTGGATGATAAAATTTTATTTTGGATATTTGTAATTTAATCTCGAAAATGTTAGTGAATTTATTATAAATAAGATGATAATTATGTTACCTTTTAATATTTAGAGTTTTTTTTTGTGATCTATAAAATTAATAATTTTACAAGACTACATATTTATTAACTCCATATTTCATAGCCTTATCTACTACCTTTAATAAATTGAATACACAATAAATCAATGAACCGATAAAAAAGTACATTTTTTTAAATTACTTTTTATTGAATCGAGTTAATATAAAATTCAATTGTCTTATCCTATCAAAACAAAAAATAAATATAAACAATTTTTAATAGAAGATGTCTTGATTCTATAGACAAAATATTATTTTTCTTTAATAATTATTAATGTAATATAAATAAATACTCAATTATAATTTAGTACTTATTTAAATAATAGTTATATTAAATAATTAAAATTAGGGATTTTAAAAAAGTCATAGTGAAGTGGAAATACATGTAAAAGAAATTGTATATAAATTAGTCCAAAATTTTTTTTTTTTAATAATATAGTACATTATATTAGCTTTAATTTAATATATTTAAAAGTGTCCGACTTTCTGGAACACTTTCAAAAGTTAAGCGTAAAAGTAAATTTTTTGTGAATAATTTGTCATTTTAAATCCCCCCTGTGGGCAGATAAAGGGTCAGATTTATAAAAAAAATATACCAAATGATAAGTAAAGACATCAAGCATCTATTAAAAAAAAAAATTTACTGATCCATATATTTTCCAAAAAGTTATAGCATTATTAAGTTAAAAATATATAAAAGAATTATTTTACAAAAATCGTAATTTTTTATTAATTTTGATGTCTATTTTCACCACGAACACAAGTCGTCAAGATGAAGTCCAGAGATCAAATTTTTTTCTTCAAATTAAAGTATATTACATTAGCTTTAATTTAAGATATATATATAAAAGTGTCAGACCTTCCGGAACTTTTTCAAAAGTTAAGTTGAAAAAGGTAATTTTTTGTGAAAAAGTTGTCATTTTAAATCCCCCCCTTTGGGGAGGTTTAGGGTCAAATTTATAAAAAAAAATATACCAGATGATAGGCAAGAACATTATGTATCTATTAAAAAAAAAAGTTATTTTGATTTGTTCATTTTTGAAAAAGTTAGTTTCGTAAGATTAAGTTTTACTTAATCTTCAACTAACTAAAATATTACCTGTGTTGAATTATTTATAGTATTAACTACAAAAATATATATTTTTATTAGTAACTTTTTACTATAAACCCACATTTTCTTAAAACAATAATGACTCAGTTTAATTGTTTAATCTTAAGTGTGAATATTATTGATATGTGTTTTATGTTTATATTTATTCACTGCATTACATTATGAAGTTTATAGTTCTAAATGAAAGTTTCAAATTAAATCTTGAAACAATTTTAATTGAAATTCTATAAATACAAACAACAATAAAATGCAAATGTTAAGAAGCAACTTTAGTATGTGGTTTAAGTTTTTGATATCTAAGTAAAACAAATAAACAAATTAGGCTGTGAATTTTAAGTGTATAATCGTGAAATCATAGAATTAATTACTTTCAAAAATTCAACTATTCATGCCACATTATTTCGTACTTTAAATAGTATGTAATTAATAAATTAAAACTGAGTTTTATAAATTAATAAACCTAGATAATAATCATAGAAAATATTATTATGAAAAGTATATGAAAATTTAAAAAATAAATCTCAAGATAGTTAAAATAATATAAAACTGAATTAATTTCTATAACACATACGAACCGAGCAGTAGATTTTATATTCTACTTGTAATGACTTAAATCAATTTTTCTCATCAAAAATGTCACACAAAAGCTTTTAAAAAAGAAATAAAAAATATTTTATTACCATTTATGTAAATTAATGTTTATTGAATTTACAGTTTATTGCCATTTGTAAAAATATAGATTATTCTGCGAATATTTAAATTGACTTCTATAATAGAATTTCTACGTAATAATAATTGTTTTTGTGTATGTTTTATGGAATAAATTAACATTTTTTAAGATTTTAGGTTATATTTTTTACATTGTTTTTAAAATTTTTTCACAATATGTTTTTGCACTCATATTTTTTTTAAACAATATAACTATTAATTTTGTGTTTTGCGATAATTTTATTTCTCACCTAAAAGATATTTTTAAATCTTATATCTAATTTTAACCTTTTTATAATCTTTCAACATTAAAATCAAGTTTACATCTTTTGAAGTAAACTTGTTTTTTTTTTTTGAAATAAAAGTGAAGTAAATACGATAATCTCTATACTAATACATTAAAGCAACATTTTTATAAAAAAATAAAACTAATAAAACAATCATCAGTTTAAGGTAATATCTGACATAAAATTTTAAAACATTTTTTTCTAAAATTATCAATTAAAAAAGCTTAACCATTCTTTTTATTTTTAAATATTTTGAATTTTAAAACAATCACAGCAATTTTATGTACATAATTAATAAAACTTTGCAATAATGACAAATGTATATTGAAAATTATTTAATTACCTAAAGTTTTCTTAGCTTAATAGACCTTTATTGATCAGACCAAAAGTGATTTTGTTAGTTGAGAACTATGATACATTATAATTAGTAAGATGATAAAATAACTAGTTTAAGTAGTTTAATGTTGAACACATTACTATAAAGATTATTTTACAAATATATTTCTTTAGTAAATAATTTTAATAGTTATTTATTATTATTTGCAACGTAAAATAGTTCAGTTTCAAAAAAAAAAAAAGATGAGTATTTTTAAATAGTCCCGGAATAGACATATATTATTTTTGTCACAAAGATAATAATTTTACTTAAACGCCAAATTATTACATCCATTTGTCATGAAGTTCTACTTCAATATTTCATACAACTTTATAATGAGAATTTCGAACAACTATTACCTTACTGTAATATTTTATCTTGTCATATGTATATAATTTTACTTCTATCATATTAATGTTACAATTTATTTTTTTAATGAATCTACTTTAAAATAAGTATTAATTATATTTTCGTTATAATTTCAGCTGTTAAAAAGATTTATAAATAACATTGCTCAAAATTTGACAATTATATCATTACATATAAAGAGTGATCAGTCTAATAGAATTTTAACTTAGATATTTCTTTGTAAATATAATATCTAATATATTATGTATTATGGTAAATTATAATCAAAAAATTATAAATAAGGGAATTTTATAAAAATTATTTTACCATAAATTCAAATAAAATCAATTGAATTGAAAATTTATCAACAATGATTCTAAAGTTCAAGCTTGGTTAATATTGACATTAAAAATTAATTGAGATTTATGATGTTTTCGAATTCACCATTAAAGCTTTTAAAATCCCAAGAGGCATACTTTAGTTGAGTCATGGCTATTGCAGTAGCAACTTAACATTTGTTTGAATTCATTTTATCAAATAGTTCAGAAATAAACTGCTTTATGTCAAGTACAGGACTAAGAACTTAAGCGTTTTGTATCTTAAACATAACAATTATATTGTGTCAAAAACCAGTTGACTTAGAATGCAATTGACTTAGTAGGCTATATAAAATATTTTTATAATAAATGAGAGCATTTTCCTTTAAATTTCAATGATTTATAGAATGAATTAAATCACTATTATTATTCAATTACTAATTCGTCATCAAAAACAAAAGATCGCCTATATTGAAAATTCATTATATGAATCACAAAATTTTAATTAAATAAGCGAAGTTGTTATCTAGATAAATTTTTCTGGGCGCAGTAACTAGATAAAAAAATATAGAACTTTTATATCATATTGATAATGGAAGAAACGTGTGAATTATTATCTAAGGGAATCATACACTCATCTAGATAAATGTATTTAAGTAAATAAAACAATTCTCGATTTTACAATGTTTGAGTATTAGTAGTTCATAAGGATTCCCGTAACCTCTCAATTACTTATAAAAAAATAGTAAAATATTGAAAAAAATTGATTAGTTTTTTTTAGATACATAAAAGGAGCTTTTTAACATTAGCCACTTGATTTTTTTTTATATAATAATTATGTTAAGAAAATTATTTTGGTGATTTTTAGTTTTCAACTATTTTTATTTATTAGTTATTAATTAATTGCTTATCTAATTCATCTCTTATATCTTTAAAGGGTATGAACTTTATTTTTTATAATGGCATAATATATATTAAACTAGCATATAAAATAAGAAATGCTCTAGTTAAAAAATAATGGTGGGTTGGTAATAATTTTTGGAATAGTACTTTGAAAATTATTTATATTTTTATACTTAAGTGGAAGGAAAAGTGCATCCGAAATGTCTCTAATGATATAGATGGCCATTTCCTGGCCTCTTCCACAGACGAATTTCTGAATTCTATTTAATAATTTTAGTTATTATGACTATAGTGTAGTCAAATAATTATTTATATTAAACTTATAATAAAGGATGTTATATGGTATACAATATAATGTATCTTTTGTACTTAATTTTTATATTTTGTTAGAAACTATCGAACATTTTTAATTTTCATAAAGGTAAAATGTAGGTATGAATCAAAAAACTCTACAACAATTGTAGAGTTTTTTTTACATATTATATATGTGTTAATATAATTATTTTTTCGTCCTTTTAAAGTTACAAATCAAAACTTAAATATGCCAAAAATACTTTAAAAGCTATAAATAATACTAACACAACGTGATTTATATATAAGACAATATTAACCAAAGTTTTAATAGAAACAAAAAATTATACTGTAAAATAGATTCTTTTATTTCTGATTAATAAATTTTTGGCAGTAATCAATTATGCTGATTACTATTTTAACTTAGGTCTATGTATTTAGTACGCAAGTTAGAATTTTATCTAATTAGCTTTGGTGTTTGTGTTGTTTATAACAACAATAACTTACAAGTTATTTCACTATAAACTAATCTTTGAGTAAGGCGTTTTAATAAAATTAAATTGCAATGCAACATCGGTTATAAAAATAATAAACTATCAATTTTACTTATAAGCTAAGATAAATACCCTTTAGGACTTAATATTCGAACTAATATTTGAAATACAACGTTTAAAATGTAAAAAAAAATCTTAATATTTAATTAAAATTATTTTTGTATTGTTATTTTTTTGTTTTGTTATTAATGAATGATTTTTAATTTCTTATACATTAGAAAATTATTGCTTTTTATTTTCAAGTGAATAAAAAGTTTAAACAATTTTTTGATTTTTCTTGGTAATATATTAAGAGTAATCATTCAGACTAACAAAGCTAGAGAACCAAATTATTTTAAAACGTGGATCGAAATGATTGTAAGTAATTTTAAATTATACTTTTATTATTTTATCTTACACCCTTTATTTTGAAAATCTTTTTTATTTATTAATGAATGACAAAGAACCAAAAACTTCCTAATATGTACAAAAATCGCATTTTTAAATTTTTAAGTGTCCATATATATAAAACAATAATATATTGATATAAAATCGTTTGGTTCTAAGATGATTTTTACTTAATAATTTGAAGTTTTGTCACAGATATTGGTGTTAAACATAAGTTGTAAAAATTAGACATTCATAGTAAGGACGATTATTTGTTATCCAAGCAAACTGTATTATATTAATAATAAAAATGTATAATTCAAATGTAATGTTTAATCATTTATTAAATAGTATTTAATGCATATATTTTTTAATAATTTAAAGAGGAAGCTGAACCAGAAGAACCAGAACCTACAAGTAATGCGTATGGAAGGCGGAGAAGTAGAGCAGTTCTTTACCAGCTATCCGGTCATTATAAAAGTGATAAACCAAAACCAAAGTTAAAATTAAATAATGTGAGTGTTTAAAATAAAAATTATAATAAATAGTAATAAGTGTAGTTATTTAGTTGAATTTCACGATTTTGATAATTCAAATGTTTCACTTTTAAAGAAACGAGAAACAAATTATAAATTTTAAATAGAAATATAATATCATTGTACAGACAGTATACTACATAGTTTTATAGTTATGTACAAAAGTCACATGAGATGGTAAAGGTGTTTTTAGACAACGAATATTTTGTTTGAATTATGGTAAAACTTGAGCAATATTTTCCAATGAATATTATTTAAATATATTCAATCTATATTTTTAGATCTTAACAAATTGAATAATTATTTGGTAACGATATCAAAAACCATTTTTTTTTTTACTAGACTATCTAAAATTGATATAATTGCATCATATATTTATAAAAATTAAACGTTTATTCAAACAATTGAGTCTGTGTAATTTATATTGAATAAATAAAACAGTAAATTTAGTTTCCACGATTATTTTATACCACACAAAATGTGCATCTATTTAAACTGCATTTTTAATTTTTATACCAGTAATAAATTTAAAATTACTTTTCTTCTAATTATATTCTTATAATAATGATATAATACTATTAAGAAATAAAACATAAACTATATTTTTATATTATAAGATAAAATATGAAATGTATTATAAGACTTATTAAATAACCATTTGATTTCGCATAAGAAAGCTGTAGTGTATATTAAAATTGTACCTAGGAAGTAATGTAAAAACAATTTTTATAGACTTACATAAAATCAAAAAATATTTTTAAATTTCCATTAAATGTGAAAAAATGTTCTTGAGGTACTCATAGTCAGGTTTCATTTGAATTACCCCAGATTATTGAAAGTTTGCTCTTTAATAATGTTAGTTTATGTTGGAAAAAATAATAGATGTTTAAATGACTGTATAAATTTTAACATAAAATAATCATATAAATTTATCAATTCAAAAATGATTATAATTTAATTTTAATTCAAACAATCATTCAGAAAAATAGAGAGAAAATCCAAAAATAGAGATCCTAATTAATTTTATTCATTTAGTGTACAATTAAACACTGAACTCTGTTTTTTAATAATTATATTCATTCAAGTTAAAAACATTTTTAAATATACAAATCATAAATCATCGAATTAAGAATGTTTTATAATTTTTTATATTTGTCTGTACTTTTACTTCATAAAATAAAATTACGTTCTAAAAAAGAAGTTTTCAGTATTAACTTTATTTAGTTTGAATGACTGAACACATTTTATGTTTTTCGTGTTTACGCCAGAGATTAAAATGATGTAATTGTGACGTATGATTGTTGAATAAAACAGTAACTTATACAAAATAATTTTTTCTTTAGTTAATTATAATTTTTGTTTATAATTAGTATTTTGTATGCCCATCTTTAGCAAACATCACAACTCGAATGCGATGCAGCGCATACTCATCTATATAACTGGGGTATGTTTTAATGATTAAGTATCTGAATACGTTTCAGATAAATTTCTAAGTGTCCTCGATAAGATTTATATTGGCCGAATTTTCAGGCTAATCAAGATCATCAACTTTTATTAAGCTACAAATACCATGGTATGGTTATTCATGTAACACGAAAACATCAATATAATGTCGTACATAAAAATTGGCTTATCTCTAAAGGCATTTTTTTATTTGAGGAAGCAACTTTTTCCAAGATTGTTTCGTAATTTTCGGCATTCAAGTACCTTCTACGACGTACAAAGGGCCCCAGTCCTTAAATACTTATAACAAACAACACCTTAACTGGTGAAAAATGTTTAATAATTGGAAGAATGCAATAAAATTTAAATTTTTTAATTTTCTTTCACTGATAGAATTTAAACTATTCGACCAATACTTGGAAAATTGATTCACCCGAAAAATCTACCAGTTAATTTTCATAAAATTCTATTAAAGCATAATTTAATCTGTTAAATATCAATTTGAAGAGAGTTATTTTTCATTTCATTAGTTTTCCCCTCTCACCAATCGTGAAGTTCTTATATTTATATGCCCATTGATATTTTGTTTTTCTATAATACCCTGAGTAAGTTTTGGTTTATGCGCTAGTCTTCATCCATTGAGTTCCTCTCTATAATTTACCGCTATGCAGTTCCTTGTGATACTTAAATAACAGTTTCGGAGACGTTTTTTACAAGAGATTTTATGGACATTTTTAGATTTCCAATACATATTTTATTCTATCACTTCTCTTTCTGAAAAGGTGATTTACAACTTGAGTTTAAAAATTTGGTAGGGTGCTGTATACAAAGTTGCAAAAATTTAGGATCTCTCAAAGTGGTTTAAACAAAATTTATAAATACATATACTTCGGACCTTATTTATGTATAATTTAGTTTTGTAAATAAACTCTTTCTTTTACCATTACAAGAGTTTTTTTTTTTTTTTTTGTAAGTTTAATAAAAGTTTTTTAATAAACAAAATATTTATTTCGAAAATATTTTTTTCAATGGGTTAATATGGTCAATGGATTGTTCAACGGGGAGAAAATTTTGTTAAATTCGATAAACACTAGGAAAAATACGAAGTGTTTGTTTAACTATAACTCATACAATCTTTAAAAATATAAAACATAATACTATTTTTTCTTTTTAATAGTTAATATTTCCCTTATTATTTATTTTATATTATTATTTATATATATTATTATTATTTCTATCTCCCCTCTATTCTCTTTATAATTTTAACAACTTAAGTATTTTATATGGAATCATAAGTGTTTAACCAACTTACAAATTAAAAAATCATCTATATATGGATAAATTTTTTTGATATGAAAAAAATAACTGATCGATAATAACTTATAAACTAATATTTTAAAGATATTAGCATTTTTATAACAAAACGGAAGGAGTAATGCGTTTTTTAATGCCTAAAGATACAAATACACAGACCCGTCTTGTTATAAAAATGTTAATTTCTTTTAAAATATTATTCCAAAAGTTGTTATGAACCACGGATTTTTTTTAGACAAATCATTTGTAAGTTTGTAAGTTATAAAAAATTAATGTTGATAAAATGTTAAGGGGGGTAGGACCATATTGTTTTCTTGAAATTATAGAACATATGATATTATCTTCTGTGATGAAAAAATTATAAACTGATTTATATTTTTAATGATATCACTTTATATTTATATTACTAAACTGTGTGGTAATATTTTCATGTGTCTTAATTGAAAAAAAAATAATATGATCTTAGAAGTTTTAAATTCTAAATTCTTCAAACGTTATTAAATTATATCATATATTTATATTTATTGTTGACAACACTAATTATACATAATAAATATTACTAATTTTTTTTTTATGCTAATTAAAGAATTAATTACACCAATCAAAGGAAAAACAAAAAAATTCTGTAAAAATATAGTTAAAAAAATTGTTACATATTAAAATCATATGATTTGGCAGTATTATATAACTAAATTCTCATGTTTGTTTTCGTGTACTTATAGATCACAGTTCCTATGGCAACTACGATTAACGTTTTATGTAATAATTCCAAATAAATATTTATAGGAGACCTTTACGTCCTCTTCAGACACGCTTTTCGCGTTGATCGTTGACACTCAAAGGTACGCATACCTTACGTCATTCTTAAAGTAAGCTTCTCTTAAACACTAGTGATGTCACAACTCTTTGAAATAAATACACGGAAATCCTGTAATCTTCTTACGAGTGATTATGCTCAATATGCTAAAATACGACTAATGTAATTTTGTGTAATTTGAATAACTTAGTTAAGGTACCCAAATTGCGTTATAACACATTTAATATTAGTGTAATACAGTATTCTATTATTAAAACATTACCATGTAATAGTGTATAATTAGTGCAATATTCATCATTATAGATTTGTTTATAAAAACTAACAAAGTCAACTTAGCAAAATGTTCAGTATCAGGGAAAATACTTTTCATTTTATTCTTTATGTTAAGACAAATCTGTTATAAGCGGAGGCAATTAAATTATTTTAGGCCTGTAAATACTTTTTTGAAACCTTGTATTATTTTTGTTTGCTTTTAACGTTTAGGAAATCTTTTACCACAGTCACATATTTAGTTACAAACATTTGAATTCCTAGTAAGAATGAAAACAGTTTTTAATTACAAAAGGCAATAATATGAGATTATTTTGATTGTTTTGTTTCATACTCCATTTCCATTTCATATTGCGGTTAACACTATTTCAATTATAAAGAATAAACCATATCATTATTCATTTTGACATCTAACTTATACACAGCTGGTACGTAATCCATAATCGTATTTCCCCTATTTTCTGCGCGATAATATTTTGTACCCTATAAAACTGTCGAAAGCTTGTAATTTTATATGTATGATTTCAAGTATAATTAAAATAAATAATTTTTTACTATATTAGGTTATAAGGACATTTCTATGTATTAATAGATGCGAATTTAAATAAAAAAAACACTAAATATACTATAACAAATAGTTATAGTTAGTAATAATAGTTAAAATTTGTTTCAAATAAATATAATTATGTCTAAACAAGTTTAATTGAATTGTTAATTTAAGCCAAGTAGTCTTAATCTGATTCCATGGGAGATTATACTAAAAATATGAGTTTGAAAACGAAAAGTGATTTCAATTTATTTCAATTTAATAATTGTCAAATATGGTCAAATGTCAATAGATTCGAAACAACCACTTGTTGAGCGAACAATTCGTATTTGTGTTTTACTTAACCCTTCAGTGCATAATTAAAAATTTGACGTTGAAAAAAATGTTTTTAGAACAATTCCAATAGTGGTCTCTGTACACGAAATTAAAAACAACTTTTGTAAGCATTCATATATACTGTTCCACGAAGTCATAGGTTAAAGCAAAAGGTCCCGTTAAAAAAGTTCAGAGCATTATTTTGTACTGTTATTGTTTGAGAAACGACGCACAATGAATGTGTTGGTCTACGTTTACTTGGCCTTTTCGAAAACGGCTTTATATCCCAATTTTCTCCTGCCTTCGTTTTTGTCCCACTTATCAACTGCGTTCATGGGCACGCCCTGCTCTATGAATACTCACCACAGAATTGCCACTAAAACACATAATTGAAAAAGTTGCGAATATTAATATAATTTTTAAGTATTGTTTTGTTACAGACGCTTTTGCAGGGGTCGTCGGCGCCACTACCAGAATACAAAACGTCTGCCTTGAAAAAGTCCCGGTGGGTATTATCGCATTACGGAGTTTTCAAAACGTGCTGGGATTGGCTGATATTGATAGCCACATTTTATGTAGCCATTGTTGTGCCATACAATGCTAGTTTCGTCAACACGGACAAACCATCAATGGTTAGCGATGTGGTTGTAGAATCACTTTTCATTGTCGGTAAGTAATTTAGTTTGCTTGAAGTCAATACATTATTTTTAATTAGAAAATTTAAGCGAACTCAATCGCGTTTATTTTACACATCAAATACTGCGCGTAGTGTATCAACCAAAAATATTTATTTTAATTCATTTTAAACATACAGTTTTGATTGATAAATTCGTTTTTTAATGCAAAAAAAAAAAACCAAACCCAGCACAGTGGAGGCGTGCCATAGTCGGGATAAGTATGAACTATACCCGACAGTTATTAAATCATAAAAAACGAATCTGTAGATAGTATTTCATTTAGAAGTAATTAATTAATTATTCCAAAAGCAACATGAATTCCTATTCCCTTAATGATATCCTCATTACAAGTTTAATGATTTATAAATATTACACATGAATATATACTTATTATTAGGATTCGAGTCTTAACACATTTATAAAATTTTTTTGGTCTACTTCCGAGACATCCAAGTCTATAAAAATTTATCATACGTATATACAGTAGTACAAGTACTTTTTTTGTTCTATTAGGCAGTGATCCTACGCGCCTCTCAAAACTTATCTCATAACTAATATACAATGATTATCATTAAGAAATACAAAAACATATATAAAAAAAAAATGATAAAGTACCGTCAAATGGGTAAAGGTACGTTGATGATTAAACTTGAGTTTCTATTGTCATTTTAGTGGTGCCAATCTGCAGTAATAATATAATATTTATAAGCATTATTAAGAAATATAAAATGTTTGTTCACAAATTTAAGTGATGAAATCTGTAAAATATTTAACTGACCCAAGTGTAAGCAAATTGGCCCATTTTAAGGTATTTGTATATTTCGTAACCTTTATAGCAAAGGTTTATTAAAATGTTAAGTATAGATTTATAATAAAAACCCTTTAAAAATCATCGTTGAAAATATTTGAAACTAACACATAAATCTTATTTAATTTTGTTTTTGTAAGAGAAGGGTACTTGGGAATGTTTACTTTGTCCTCCTATATGACTATATACTTTGACTTAAAGTATAGGCATAAATAATTTAAAACAAATTATGACAATACAAAAAATGTAAATTTTTGCAAAAGTATAACATTTTTTGTTTAATTTCAGAGACCGTTTACATATTGATGACAAGTTATCGGAACTAATTATTTGTATATTATACAATCTTTTATTTGATATATATTTAAAAAGAGCAATATTTCAGGATTATTATTAAAAGTCAAATTGAAAAAGTACTGTTTTTTGTACGTATGTTTCAAGTTTTGAGCAAAGGGAATTTACTTTATTATAAGGGGAAGTGGTCAGATAAAAAAAATATGTCAGATGAAAGGAACAAGTATAAAGTATTTATAAACAAAATTGTGATAATCCATATATTTTTCAAAGAATTATTGGTTAGGACTAAAATTAGTTAAGACCAATTTTTTTTATTTTTCTTAATCGAAACCAAAATAAATTATTTTACAAAACAGAGTCCTAAAATTGAAACAAAACCGGACATTATTTAAAACCAAAGCAAAATTAACAATTTTAGAGCCTGGTTATAGTAATATAAAATTGAAAATATAAAATCGTTAATTTTAATGCAAAATTAGCACGTATTTTAACTAAGGTAATCATTTACACATAAAAGATAATATGTCAAGATAAATATTTTTTCTTAATTTATAGTACGGGACAATAACTTTAATTTCATATATATAAAAAAACCAATATTTCCGCAACATTTTCTAAAGTTTAGTTGAAAAGATTAACATTTCAGGTAGATGTTGCTTTTTCAAATCCCACCTGTGGACAGGTAAGGATAAGATTTTCAATAATTTATGTTTAATGTAAATAAAATACGTCAAGTATTTATAAAAAAAAAATATTTAAATTCATCCATTTTTTAAAAAGTTATGGCATTTTTATCTAAAAAAATTTAAATATGTAGAAATTTACCGAATTCAATAATCGTAACTATTTCGTGTGACTACCCAATTTACGGGGAACACGGGAATTTTTTCAAATTTTGATGTTAATGTATTCAACTAGACAAGATTTGAGATCTTTTGGGGTATCATTGAAAAAAAAATCTGTGCTGTATAAGCATATGAAAAAGTGGTGACATACCAAAATTTTTGTGGTACACAAAAGAAAATACGATGTAAATTTAAAAACTTCTCAGGCTCATATCGGAGCTAAAGTAATGTATTTTCTGTTGTCCCTGAAATGTTTATCAATAAAATCATATTTTAATATTTATATAAAAATAATAAAATACAATTTTTATCTTGTGCAATTTGACGAATACAACTTTATTTTACGAGGAAAATGTGTTCCTAAAGTTATAGTAAGTTTGGAAACTTATTAGAGTGCGATCGCGCATTTAAAAATCATTAAAGAAAAGGAAGTTTGATGGCTATGATAAAAGCGGCTGTAAATAAACAGTAAGCAGTCTTTTATGCCTCAAAACTACTTTAACTTAGACATATGAGCAACAAACTTAAAATTATTTATTTACTTTAAAAATATTAAAAATATAAAATTACAAAAATTAATTAATAATCAACAAAATTGGTAATTTATTAGCCAGAGAAAAATATAATATTTCATGGTTAATTAATAGCTAGTAATTTTTTAATTAAAAATATCATACTAGAACAAAATTGAGATATTTTTATATAAAGAATTGGAATTTGATATTTGGTAGAGCTGAATTTATTTTCCTCAACCCTAAACAATTTTTTCATACAAGAAATATAAATTTCTGAATTTTGGAAAACGGGTAACTTTAAAACTATACATTAAACTTTTCAAAATTCCTTGGCTGGGACAGTGATTTGAAAAATATTAAATACAATTTTTCTTTGGCTTAAATATTTCTTAATTTTTTTCCTTGATTTATTCGAACCACAATTTTTTAATGATTTTTGATTAGGTTAAAACTTAAGGATTTATAAATGCTTTCTGAGTAGTATTCATTTACTGATAATGTTATCAATGCAATTCGAATAAATTTACATTTTAATCTCTAAAAATATTTAATATTTTTAATGTTTAATATCTCTTTTTAATTCCTTATTTGCAATTCAGTAAAACAAAAGACAGATTTGAAGTCAACAAAAATGATATCTAAATTTTGTAAATACAATTTTACATCTTCAAAACTCATCGTTATCATTTAACATATTGTATCAAAAATTGACCAGAAATTAAATGTGAAGGAAGGTTTAGGTTTTTGTTTGCTACTTCATATTAAACGGTTTATCAGATTTGTTAAATTCTTAATAAGCTTTGGAATAAATGGTTTGTATACTGCTTATGATTAGTGAATAAAAGTTTTTTTTGAGTGGGTAAATTAATAGTGTAAAGAACAACTTTCTTGCTTACCGAGTTAGTACAACTCTGAAATAATAATTCTGTAAACAAGTTTAATTGAGGGTTATTTACTTTCTTTATTTCATTGTTACTCAGTATTTTTTGAGATAAAAAAAGTTCGATTGTTTAACAAAACAGTTAAATATTAATACCTCCATAATTTATGCTAAAATAATAACAGACATTTTTAAAAATACAGTAAAAATAATTGCTACATTTTTTATACTCTAATTAAAATATAGTCTAGAGATCTAGACGATTGTTTTTAAAACATAGTGATAAAAAATAAATATATGTAATTTATATTAAGTATTGTGTTCAATTTTGTACATGGTATATAACTAAATATTACATGTTATATTTCAAAAAAATTGTATTCAATGAAATTAGATTATCAATCTTCTTAATTGTTTTTATTAATATGAAACCTGTAAAATGTATTGTTTTTCAACAATCGATGAAAAATGTTATTGTGATATGTTAAAATTATGTTAAATAATTAATATTCATTAAATAGAATTATTGAATGAATTTTTTTACTAAATTTCGATTTTATAATGTCATAGGGTAAAATCAACAGGGATGGGACACTACCTGTAAACGATCACCATTGAGTTTTTAACTAGAAAATTGTCTAATCTAAATGTTACATGTATTTTTCATAACAATATAATATTTAAATCAAGCCTACTCAACATCATAATTTTTGATACAATATAATTAGCTGTTAATTCCCTGTAAATGTTCAACATTTAATGATGAATTCAAAATTTCTGTTAGTTAAATATAAATATTTTTATAAATTATTATCACATTACTATTATAAAGAATTTTTCGAAAAACAAATATTTATTAACTTTATGAGTGTTATATGAATACATAAATTACTTTAAAGGATGAAAAAATCAAAACTGTTTAGTCATTGATGAAATTTCTCTAAGTTTTATAAATTTGACAACATAGTAAAACTTTTGTACGCACAATACGTAAGCTATACGTCATTGTTGTGGTTTAGCCTGACAAGACATCACATTACTTAGGATGTCGGCTAATTGTCTCTTTAAGTTGGTCACCCCACCACAATATAGACCTACTTTTTCGTTCGTGTACCTAAATTGCATACTCAGTGAGCCGGCCGATTAATCATAGTGTCTTATTCCGACGGAGTTGCTACTGATCATGAAGCATGATAGCAGGTACCTTCTACTCATATATTAAATATATAGCGACAGTCTTGAGGAAATAAAGAGTAGATAGATCTATACGAATATAACTCCTAGAACGTCTGTCATTAGGAAACAATTTATGTCCTTTTACTTGAATGAAGATGTTTTTCGATAAAATCCACTTTTTGCAAACCTTCCACAGAATTGAGTATTAATTTATTTTTTATTTACAATAATTGGATCGAAAAAAAACATAACGTATAAAAGTTAATGATGAAAAATAAAAATAAATTACAATAAAGCACGATAAAATTGTTCTGTTATGACAAATATGATTGAGTTAGCGAGCCGTACAATGATTTTATATTTTATAAAGAAAAATAATTGTTAAAATGGATGGTAAAATTGTATTCAAATTTATGTATGCTGCGTCAATAATTTATACATACTCGACATAACTGATATTTTATGAAATTA